CCTGCTCCATTATACCTATCCACAAACTGCAATCAACAGCTCATGTGCTCACGATGTTATGACAAAAGGCCATTAAGAATTGTCTTCCTCAGTCTCTTGCCACAAATCTTTCTAGTGGTCACAACATGTTCCAGTTTTCACCCTTTAACATGTCCAAAACATGATAACTGTTTCATTATGTTTGTGATAAGCTGTCTTCGGATCCTAACCTCTTTCAAAACATCTGGGTTAATCATTGCAGCTGCCCAAGAAATTTAAAGTATTCTTCTGTAGAACATCACCTCTGAAGCCTCAGGAAGTTCTTTGGCTTGTTCAACCCAGGACTCACGGCCATGTTAAAACTGTCTCGATATAAAAAAATTAAAATGTCAGTAGTATATCTTTTACAAGAAGTTGCAGAACCAACCCTTGCATATTTTGGCTGCATCAGTTTTTCTAGGCAAATTTATGTTCAGCAAATTGCCATTGCTGCTGAATGGTCGGTTCTCAACCATTATTGAAACCAACAAAAGACAGTCTGTTGCCAAACTGCTTGCAGCTGGGATTTCCCCCCAAATTTTTTTAAGTATCCATGAGGTATTAGTATTAACCCTTTGACTCGGTGCTATGAATGTATCGCAACCCTTCGGCCTTGATTCCATGATAGATTCTGTAAATCTGGGACAAATGTGGTTTTTCTGCCAACGCCCTGGCGTTAACCCGGACAACAAGGAGTTTATCACCCTGTCGCTGCTCAGTCAGGTTTAACCAACTGCGCTAGTGAACCAAAATAAAACCTGGCATTACAAAGCACATTCGCAACATCCAAGCCACAAACACAGACTATACAGAATGCGAGAATCTTATTTCTAGCCTCCCATGACAGCAATTTACCTCATAAGATAAAATGCAGTTTTTGCTTTACCTATTATGTTCTTACTGCTAATAAAATAAATAGGAACACTTCACCAGAGAGCCAACAGACACTGCACTTGCAGATTTGGCAAAATATTAATTTTAATGAAGGTTACAAACTCTGAAGACGATTTAACAAAATAATAATGGCATTGATTAAAGAAACCCACAGTCTGTAATACAACCAGTCTTTACACATTTATATTCTAGCAGTGTTCTTCAACTTGTGGTCCACAGAAATGTCCTAAAGGTCAAACCCACAGACATGAAGACAGTCTTTATACATTTATATTTTAGTAGTGTTCTTTCCCCGTGTGGGTTCCGGGGCCCTGTTAAAAAGAAAACAAGAACAGACCCACTGCCTACACAAAAGCATGTTGTAAGAGTCGACTATTTTGGAGCTTCCTTCAAAGTCAGAGTGCATCTGCCTGAGAAGCAAGTAATTAACAGTCTGCATATAAATTAGATCTGTCAAACGGATGCACACGCAAAACTCAGGTTCTGGAACAGGACTGCAGTCCAGAAGTGGATGAACAACCAGAACTTTCTGTGAGAGTTTACAGCTGGTGAATGCAAAAAAAAGAAGGAGCAGTATTCTTTAACTTGTGGTCCATGGAAATGTCCTGGTGGTCAGCTAAAAATGTTCTGACTTGTCATATAGCACCTACATGATTCTGATACTACACTGCTGCAAAGATTGTCTACTCTGAGCAGCAGCAGAAGTTCCGCTAGCTTCACTCTGTAAGTCTGTGACATCAGACGTAGCGAAGAAACTGCTATCTAAACTGCTGGTAAGTGATCCGTGAAATTAGTTCCCCTGTTGTGCAAGCCTGTGGGTATGAAAGGATTGTAGAACACTGTTCCAGTACATTCTCCAGCAGCTCCACCCTCTCAGACATCAATATTCTAATTCACTAAATCCCCCACCCTCATTATCACACAGTGAGTAGAGATATTCTCAGTCAAACGTCAACAGTAAAGTGCCAGCAGGCCTCAACAAAATCGGCGTCATGATACACTACTGTTTGACAATCTCTTGATATCATCTTCCAGTTGTACTGTTGTCTACCTTTTGCTCACTTTACTTCATCAAACCATCTTGTATGTTCTCCCAGCTCATCCCAAAAGTGTCGAATGTGACCACTAAAATATGTGATTTATCTCTGCTGCCCCCAGTGCTTGTTTCATACCAAGCCTCGAAAAGACCTGTACGTTTATTAAAAACAAGAACAAAAAAGTACAACTTGAATCTCACCCCCACTCGCTTGCATGCGTGATTATGTATTCGTTACCACAGTCTGTCCAATGTTCTAGTGATTGTCAGGTGTTGCTTGTTTTTGAACATTTTAAGCACATTCGCCACTGTTGACAGTGACCTCCAACGAACGTAGAAACATAAAAAAAAACAATGATTCGATACCCACAAACTGTTGCGCCTTCGGTGCTCCCCCCGCAACACTTAATCTTTGTATACAGGCGCCTGAGCTTCTCACAACAACACATTGGAAAAACAACAGTCATTCACAGAAAAGACACCTGCGACAAGAAAGCTGCACAGTGTATTTCAGGAGGACAGGTTGCTGACCGTGTCAAACGGACATGAGCAAGATTTCACCACACTGTGTATAGACAGCAAAGGAAACCATCTCATAACTCCCCTAAAACATAGGACAGCCCGCGGGAACAGCCACAAAATCTCACATCCGAGTGAGATGAAGTGACTACTGTGATTAGTGTCAAAAAAAAAAAAAAAACACAAGATTTTATTTGTCTAGTAAGGTTTTCTATCATTCCAAGACATTATCTGTATTCTTCCAAAAATAAAATGTTGGTTCTAGGATCATGTTGTGGTGGTGGGTGTGGAATAGACCCCATACTATCTCAACAGGATCATGTTGGGGTGGTGGAGGAGGTGGAATAGACCTCATACTATCTCAACAGGATCATGTTGGGGTGGTGGAGGTGGAATAAACCCCATACTATCTCAACAGGATCATGTTGGGGTGGTGAAGAGGTGGAATAAACCCCATACTATCTTAACAGGATCATGTTGGGGTGGTGAAGAGGTGGAATAGACCCCATACTATCTCAACAGGATCATGTTGGGGTGGTGGAGGTGGAATAAACCCCATACTATCTTAACAGGAACAGTGCAAAAGGTGATGAAATAATGCTTTGCTTAAATAGGATCTGTTGGACTGAAGGTGCAGATATCACATCCTAGCTGTTACCACAACACTACATATTATCTGCCCTCTTAAGGGTGACTGCAGAGCAAATTTGGGGATCTATGCTCAATGAGAAATTAAAAGGAGGATGGCCATATCAATGCAAAGAAGATTGAACAGCCTTAAAAGTCTATGGTTAAGCACCAGCAAGGAGATCAAAATTAGAATTCTGAGAGCACGCATCTTCCCTGTGGCTACATATGGATGTGAGTCGTGGACTATCTCTCAGTCCTTTTGAGCTTAAATGTTATAGAAAGATTATCAGAATATCTTGGACAAAGAAGATGAGAAATATTGACATCTTAAAAGATCTGAACATCAAGAAAGATTGGCTAATAAACCGCATCCTTTCTCGAAAGCTGAAATATTTTGGTCATATCAAGCGCCACGACGGATTGGAAAAAACTATAGCAGAAGGCATGATACCAGGAAGGAGGGGCAGGGGCCGACCGACACGAAGATGGGCACAGGATATAGGTGACTCCTTGAATGTGAAAGTGCATGAGGCGGGGGAACGGGCGAGAGACCGAGTTTATTTCAGGCAGACTGTGATGAGAGCGACGTTCTGCAAAGGACCTGCTACATGATGATGATGATGATGCTCAATGAGGAGTTAACACACAGCTAAAGAAGAAAAACAGAGGAAACCCAGAGCAGACTGGTAATTCTGTAAGAACATTAGGTGTGGTTTTATGAGAGTAAATACAAAGAAAAAGATTTTTTTAAAAAAAAAATACTAAGTACCTTTCACCATTAGGCTTGCACACTATCCATCTATCAAGCATAACATATCTCAGACACTCTCTTGTATTTACCTCTTTTACCTTAATGTCTCTTGCATATTTTCTTCAACACATAGTGTGTCTGACAACAAACTTTTGTCCATTAAACAACATTCTGACCATCAGATATGACCTCAGATGAGACAACTGACGAACAACTAAAACAATTAGTAATAAAATACAAATATTCATATCTCTGCGCACAATAAAGGGAATTAAAAGGTATGATAGAGCCAGTAATGTTGAGCTTTGTGAGAGAACTAAACAAGTTCCAGTGAATCAAGAGGTGAGAAGATGCCGATGTTGTACTGGACACTGGAGAAAACGTGGCAACAATAGAATAACTAGAATATCTTTGCATCAGAATCTGCAAGGTCAAAAGAATAAAGGCAAACAAAGAAACATAGAATGAAAGAAACAGAGTGAAGTTAAAAAAAAGATGTAAAGGACATGGGTGAGAGCTGCATACAATACAAACAGTGAGTTTGTTGTTGTGAGTTTGTTGAAGGTCAATGTTTCACTGGGGGATAAAGATCGACAGGGCTGTTTGACCCCTAAACAGTATGACCTCCGTCCGTAACTAAGCTACACAGGGGTTGAGTTTACCTTAAAAATCCCACAATGCAAACTCCCTGCAGACAACAGCCACAAATGCCTCATTTAGGCAACCTTTACGTCTGCTTTTTCAAGAATATTCATTTTAAAAACAATGTTCATATACACAGGACTTACTAGGCTTCATTTGCAACCAATATGTAGTCCAATGGCGCAGTAGCATAGGGGTACTTTAATTTTAGTCGACCCTATCTTGTCAGCTTCGAGATTTGCTTGGGAAATCCACAAAACAATATCCAATAGTATGGGGAGGAGGGCGGTACTAGGGTGTACAGTAGTCACTATTCCGCTATTTATTTAACATTAGCCCATCCCCCCCCCCCACAATATAGGACTGTCAAGGGAAACCCCTAGGAATTCCCTACGAAATCTCAAAGTGGATGAGATGGGGGTCATCTAAAATTAAAGTACATCATAGAATGCTAACTTACCAGGACATCACTCATAACTCATCAGATGAAGGAATGTCCTTCTCTCCTTTTTATCTCCTTTTATGAGATTTCTCTTTGTTTACCTTGCCGCCTCTCTTCTCGCCCACTTTCTCTTCGTCACTCGAAAAGCTCCAACTTCTTTTCCTCGCTACTTCTCCACGATGTTCACTGCCTCTTTCTCTCTCTCTGTTACCAGTAGCATTCAAGTTACGCCTGGGGCCCTCCCTCTCATCTTTAGTATTCCTAAGTTTCTCCCTCTCATTTCCATCCTTTTTCCGCGCTTCTCTGCTCCCACTCCGCAGCCTTGGCCTGTACTCAGCCTGCCGAAACTCCTGACTGTTTCTGGTCTGCTTCCTGTAACCCTGACCTTCAGAATCGGAGCCGCTCTCAGGCTCTGCAACTTTACGTTTGCTGCCATATTTCTCCCCTCTGCTACTTTCTCCAAATCTATCGCTCCTCTCATCCTTACCCTCCCAACGATCTTGTCTCTTTCCTCGTTCATTAACCTCGGGACTGCTCCCACTATCACTGCTCTGTCTGTACTTGTCTCTCTTATTTGAACGGTCGCCGCCGGTAACCCTTGTGGGCTTCTTTCTTTGATCAACACCAGAATCACTATCTTCAGGGGATGATGTCCTCCTTTTGCTTTTCTGCTTCTTCTTCTTGTCTTCCTAGAAAACAGAAAGAAAAAAAACACGAGTGAGTTTTTTTCCCCTTCAAATTGCAGACACTTTTCATGCCATGGCATTTTTTGTATGTGTTTCTCATATTGTTTACAGACCTATTTGGGCGAAATCATGCCAACCACCTTTACTTCCCAGAACTTGAAAAAAAAAATCAAACTCGATAAGAATTCAAACCCAAGATCTTTATGTCTGCAGGAGAGCGTCTAGCCACTACACTACCCTGGCTCACCATGAGAGTTACTTAACACCTTATTCCCCCCCCCTTTGCACCCACCAGGGGTGAACTCTGGTGAGAAGTTCTGGTTGTCTGTCCACTTCTGGACTTTGGCCTTGTGCCAGAACCTCAGTTTTGTGTGCACATCCATTTTACAGATCTGGCTCATTTCTATGCAGTCTGTTGGTTGCTTGCATCTCAAGCAGATGCACTCTTACTTCGAAGAAAACATAATTAATTAGTAGCCTCATATGAATGCTTGTTAGTCCACAACAGGTCTAATCTTTGCTCCTCCCAAACGGGGCCCCGGGACCCAACATGGGAAAATGAGGAATGTAAAGTAAAAGCAGTCTCGTAACAAGTACTGCTGCTGGCATGTGAACCTTCACACATAATAGGCTGGAATTCCGGCCAAAATTGAGGAAAGGCTTGGCAGAATGTTAAGCTCTGAAGTTGTTTTTGCTTCTGACAGCGCTTTGCTAATAACTTAACACCTGTCACTAGGGAAGGCATTAGACAGAACTTAGTTTCTTTCATACCTCATGGCTGCCACTGGTGATCCTAGGGTTGTTACAGACCTAATCGGTCTGTAAAAGCCTAGCATAGACATCTAAGCTAAAAAAAAATTTGGACAGATGGATAGGTGGTGAACATGGTATGGTGTTTGGTGATCGCTTACTCTGGTTTTCCTCTCTGTCACGGGATGTTACTAATATCTGAAGGCCAAGTCAATGATCAGTATATTAAAACACATCAAGTAAAACCAGCGTACAGCCTGCAGTATGAGGGATCCTCAATGAACCCCTCATGCTTGTCCATGCACTATTGTCAGGTGTTACATAGGACAACAACTGTCAACTGTGCCTGTATGATCACCATCAGCTTGTGTCCTCAATCCAGGAGCTTTCTAGGTGGTCATGCTGCCAACAACTGCCACGACCAGAAGGTGGTATAGTGGCGAATCCAGAACTATCATTTTTAACACAGAGCCATCTTCCCTGAGATACCACTAAACACTATTAAACTTTTTTGTGGTTTAGGTTAGACATTAAGTGTTCTGTTAATTCTAGTGACTTGTGAACAGTGAGCTTCACTATGGAATTCACAGAACTTCAAACATGCACCACCAGATGTGGGAAGCGACAGTTAGCTGTGCATCATTTACATTACAGATGTAATAAAAATAGCAGGGTTTTTTTGGGGTGCTGTTTGTGATTTTAATAGGCAATGATTATATTCAGCTTTTTGCCATTATATTTAAATAACAAAAAAAAAATTCTGAGCTTTTGAACTGAGATGCTATAGATAAATTCTCTGAATATTATGGACCAAGACGAAGAAAAAAAAAACAGCTATTCAGCATGATCTGAACATCTAGGAGAATTGCTTCATAAACAGCATCCTGTCCGAAGAGCTGAGGTATTCTAGCCGGGACTGAACAGCGACGGAGGGTAAACAATCCTGACTTTCAACTGGTTTACAACAGGTGAACGCTAGGAAGAAGAATAATTCCCAAAGAATCAAAGGCCTACAACCAACTTAGGCCACCAAACCATTGCCGACTTTTCTTTTGTGGTCGGATTATGCAATATCTGACAAACCTGGTGCCAATCCTCCTTAGTGGCATCATATGACTTGCATGGTATGTTACTATTTTACCATTCCTTTTCCTTCATGTGCGGGCCCTGGTAACATACAGGTGAGATGCGAAACACTGTCTTCTTATTTTTTAATCATTACACTGCTCCTGGGCTGTAGCCCAGTGTCATGGTTTTCTGTGCTTTCTTGCGCTTCTCGAGTGGCCTGGGGGATGATTTTTTTATCATATTTTGGCAGGATTCAGCTATCCTGTCTCTCTAACTCTTGGTCTTTCTCACACCTTTCACCCAGAAGTTCTGCTGTAGAAGGTCTCATATAGAGTTTGGTCCGGGTGCGTTGATGGAAAATATACTTACCAATAAAAAGCTGTAGATTGCATTTTGAAAAAGTGTTTTAAAGTGATATATAAAATCTGTACTGTTCTATGCATGTAAAGCATATAAGCAGACAAGCTGATTCCCCCATGTGAATTCTGAACTGCATGGGTGGGGGTGGGGGAGGGGGGGGGGGTGATTAGACCAAATGCCTAACTAAACTGAAAAAATATTATAATAGATTACACATGCACTCAATTGTAAAACTGCTTGCCAAAAAACCTCCTCCCGCCCCTGGGCTGAAGACCATTGATGTAAAAGATATGCACTCACACCCTCCTCTGTCTTTCTAAGACTTCATACTGAATAATAAACATCTAGTGACTCAAAGAGTTGCTGTTTCGATGAGAATACAATGAGCAGATCACAGTAACCCTGTTGAATTGTCTTACAGCTATACTGCAGCACCTGATAGTTTTAAAGCCATCCTGGGTGAGTTGAGGTGTGATGTTTACTGTGTGAATGTGTGATGTTTACTGTGCAAATGCCTTTTATCTCCTCTGGGGCTGCTACCTAAACATGCGACATGCTAAGATCAGAAGACCCCAATCTGGATGGCAGACCAAACAGGACCTGAAGATGTGACATCACAGAATCTCTGTGGATCCGACCCAATTAAGCAGCAACAAAAACAACAAAAATTGTCACGTTCAACCAGCATCCCCAAAGGGGAAGGTTTTGGTTAAAGTTGTGACTAAGTTATTTGTGCCACATAGAATGGCCTGACATTGCTTGCCACCAAGTAGCCTTTAAAAGAACTCCTGCAGAGCTGATGCGATCAAAAGAAAAAACCCAAATACTGTCCCGACCAACGACAAGGCCCTCTACCGGCCAGCCAATGGGCGACCCGGTCGCCGATGAGAATTTCACAGCAGGGGGCAGACTGATAAGGCAAGCCTAGATACCCTGTTCAGCAAAATAGGTTATAATTAAGGCACCCGTAACGGCCACCCCAGCTGGGTGTAACCTGCAATTATGTGGGGTCAAGAATGTATGCCTATTATATAATATTTTTTACTAGGCATCTGTACACTGAGTAGTTTGCCCTTGCTTTCTAAACGATCAATGCTCATGCCACTGGTACAATCAACAAACCGGACTGCTTCCAAATCACATGTAGATGATCCCTATGTGGGTTCTGGGGTCCTTTTCTGGAGGAAAAAAGAATAGACTCACCCCATCCCTATAAAAGCATGCTATCTGCCAGAGAGGTGAGAAACCAACAGTCCGCATACAAGTAAGCCAGACATGTAAAATGGAAGTGCATGCAGAATTCAAGTTCTGGAACAAGACTAAAGTCCTCAAGTGGACAAACAACCAGAACTTTCCAGGGAATGACAGCCGGAGATACGCAGCTGAATAAAAACCTAGTAAGTGAGAATTATCACCAGATCACTATAATGTAACGCCTTACCTTCCTTTCTTGCGTTCTGTAGGACCTCTCCTCGCCGGCAGAATAGCGCAGATCAGGAATTAACGCATACCGATTGTCTCCCTTTGAAACATAACAGTCCATAGCGAAGTGACCTGCACAACATAAATAAATACGAGGCACGTTTTTAAGTAAGTCCCGTTTTGACCGCAGCGACACAAACACTGATGGAAAACGTAAATGTGCATATGCGGTACGTTTATGTGGTTCATTAGTTAGCTGTGTGCTGTTTTCCCCACTGTGGAAATCTTGTTTGGCGCTGCGTGTGAGTGATTTATATTGAGTGCAAAAACAAATACTTCTGCCAGCTGTGAGGCTCGTGTTGTTTTTTTTGTTAGCAGAGATGCTCCTTGAGGCCACTCCTTGAGGCAACTCCTTGAGGCAACTCCTTGAGGTTTATGGGTCAGATGTTATGACTGACAGGATGGTGAGGAAATGGTGTCAATGTTTAAAGAAGGGCGAACAAATATTCATGATGGAGACTGCAGCAGTCAGCCTAGTGTGGTGACAGACGATTTGGTGGAAGGATTGAACCTGAAATTTTGGAAAATCGTTGCTTCACAATTTCTGCATTGCCTGTCGAACTTTAGAAGTTTCCTGTTCACTGATTTACGACACTTTGAAAAGAAACCTTGGATATAAAAAAAACTGTGTGCCATCTAAAACAAAAGTCGCCTCTAGAATTGTGCTTCTGCAGGATAATGCTCGACCTCATGTTGCATATGGAACTGTTTAGCTGTTGCAAAAAAATTCACTGGGAAATTGTTGACCACCCACCAGACACCCCCAATCTGGCACCAAGTGATTTACCACTTTTTTTTCTGCACCTAAAGAACCAAAAATGTGTTGAAGTCACCAAAAATGTGTTGAAGTCACCAAAAATGTGTTGAAGTCACCAAAAATGTGTTGAAGTAACCAAAAATGTGTTGAAGTAACCAAAAATGTGTTGAAGTAACCAAAAATGTGTTGAAGTAACCAAAAATGTGTTGAAGTAACCAAAAATGTGTTGAAGCAACCAAAAATGTGTTGAAGTAACCAAAAATGTGTTGAAGTAACCAAAAATGTGTTGAAGTAACCAAAAATGTGTTGAAGTAACCAAAAATGTGTTGAAGTAACCAAAAATGTGTTGAAGTCACCAAAAATGTGTTGAAGTAACCAAAAATGTGTTGAAGTCACCAAAAATGTGTTGAAGTAACCAAAAATGTGTTGAAATAACCAAAAATGTGTTGAAGTAACCAAAAATGTGTTGAAGTCACCAAAAATGTGTTAAGTCACCAAAAATGTGTTGAAGTCACCAAAAATGTGTTGACATCAATGGTGACTGTGTTGAGAAATAACGTAAATGTTTTGTTCACTTTTGGCTGCAATAATTCTTTTTATTCGTGTTTTTTAAAAATAAAGTTCATACCGGGAATTACTTTAAAAAAATGAACTTCGTACTATGAGATATCAACTAAACGCTTGCATCATCATAATTTACAGCAAGAATTCAAAAGTAAAGGACCTTTTCAACACCTTCAAGTGCACTGGGCTAGGTGAACCATCATCAGGAAAGGCTCAAACCTGGGCCTACTGAATATCCAAGACCTAAAACAGGTGGCAATGAACTGCCAGACATGGAGAACTATGACCTCTTCACCACTCTAGACTCAAGAGAAGACTAACTAAGCTGAAGCTTGGCGACATATCAGTCACTCCTTGCTGTACATGTCTCTCCCGGCAATCGTAACCTACCGTATTTCCATAATTATGAGAAAACATTATGCGTCTTATGCAACGGCAGTACCACATTATTTGTTTCAAACTTTCCAGAATCAAAATCAAGGTGCATTATATACATGGGACCATCATATATTTTTGCTGAGAAACACTGGATTTATGGCCTGGAAAAGTCTCACAGCTGTGGCTTTTTGAGCAGCCAACTCTGACCTGATGCCTCCATTGTGGTCTATTGCATGGTTTGCTTCTTTCCTTTAGGCATGTAATGACTGACATCCCTTATTTGCTCTCAAAGAGCCTTGACTACATTTAGCTTGTCGTGCATCAATTCACCAGCCAGGTCAGTCACAGAGAACCAGCCAGGTCAGTCACGGAGAACCAGCCAGGTCAGTCACGGAGAACCAGCCAGGTCAGTCACGGAGAACCAGCCAATCTGTCTGGCTGTAAGTTAATACAGTAAACCAGTGTTTCCTAAACTTTTCTTAGTCACAGCACCCTAACCTATGTAAAAGTATGACTACTTGTAAGTAAGAGATTAAAAAAAAAAAAAGCTCGTGTATCTTGTGAAAAAGTCGTGGCGGCGCAGTTTGGGAATCACTGCAGTAAACATTTGTTATAAAAAAAAATTCTGACTGACCAAAAAATCGAGTCTGTGTAAAAACAATTTTCGCGATAGCTGGGGACTATAAAAATAATAAACCACATGCTGGAACTAACAATTTTTTCACGACCAAATGTTCTTCTTTAGTGGCTTCCTGTTAACAAGATTCGACTGTATCTACTAAGTAGGACTAAAAAAAAAAAAGCATGACTGACCGTGTCCTCCACATCTGCGACAAGTAGTGTTCAGTTCAGCACCCAGATCAATTTTCCTTCTATCCTGAGTGTTCCACTGTCTCCGTCGTTTTTCATCCTGGCTGTAAACAGAATTGGATGATGGCAAGAATATTAACATATGTCACACCAGAATGGTGGAAACACACACTTCAATCAACAACACAACAAAGTACATCAATCAATATGTATTAATAAACATTATCTAATGAGAAAAAGTAAGTTGCGTATCCTTTACAGGACGTTGCAGAACCAACCGCAGCATTTCTGGGCTGTTGTTCTTCTAGGCACATTTACGTCCAGTAGTTTGCCACTGCTTACTGGACAGTCGGCTTCTTGATACCACTGTCGAAACCAACGCAGTGCGCAAGTCCTGCAGCTGGGATCGAAGCCTGCACCCGGCATTATAAAGCGCCTATGGTTCACCCAAGAACAGGTGACTAATTGGCCAACAGTCAGTCAAGTGCAAGAGTACCTCTTGTCTAAAAGTCAAAGTTAGATATACAGATTTCCAGACTCTAAAAAACACTGGTACTGGACAACCATCACAATCTTTTGGACAGGTGAAATAAAGAGATCCTGGGAGAAATAAGTTTTAGGATAGATTTGTGTGTGTGCGTGCGTGCGTGTGGCTTTGTTTTAACCCTCATTTCTGGAAAATGTAAACTGTCTGGCTAAAGATGGAAGGAGTGGCTATTAGGAAGCTAGCCTGCCCGCAGTTCTAATCTGTCACTCATAATTGCTCTGTTCCTGTGCCAAAACAAAAACCACATAGAATGTCTGTATGCCTAAAAACTACAAAGGACCCAGAGGCAAACAACTGTCGATTGATTGATTGAACCCTACAGCATTCTTGTGTGCAATATGAAGAGCTTATGAACATAAAAAATTTTGAGTGACAAAATTATGAAAAAATAGGTTTCTTTCTTTCTTTCTTTTTTTTGGAGTAGTAATCGCCCAGCGGATAACCATGGATTTATTCTTTTAGAATAGATATAAATAATGAAACAGTTTACGGCTAACTGTAGTTCTTCTTCTTCCTTAGGTCCTCTTTTACCACTTCGGGTGTCGAGGGAGCTATGAGGTGCTTTTCTGGCTGCTTCAAAGACACATTGTGGTACTGTAGAGTTTCTCTGATGTTATCCTCTATTCTTGTTCTTGGTCTTCCTCTTGCTCTAGATCCATCTCTTTTGGTATATGCCTTGAATGGTATAGCATCAGAAAGCATTCTCTTCAAGTGGGAAAACCATTTGATTTGCTGTCTTTCTATGTAATTCAGAACTGGTTCTGTGCCGACTTTATCTCGTATGACCTCATTCCTGATTTTATCGCTTCTGGTCACTTCTACAGCCTTTCCCAGACACCTCATTTCCATGGTTACTAATTTTCTTTTCTGTACAGTAGTTTAATGTCACAAAACCAAAGAAAGAAAAAACATCTGACTTTGACTGAATATTCTCTGGATCCAAGTCTTTTCCTGATGTTTGACTGACAACTTTCATTGAGAGAGCTATCTTTTCTCCATCCGCCTGCAGAACAAAGTGGGCTTTGTTAGTTAGAAAGCATGCACATACCTTCATTATGCTAAAAGATAATATATTTGTATTATGTCAGAGAGTAAGAAAATATTCACAACATTTTATAATGCAACCTGTTTGCCCAGGAAACCCTTGGGGTGTGGACAGGAGGAATCATGGACTGGGTGTCATGGGGGTGTCTTGGGGTGGGGAGTTTAATGGGGGGTGTCAGGAAAAGAACATGAGATAAAGGAGAAACTGACTGAAGGCAGGTTATCAGTTAAGCTTCTGAAGAAGCACATTAAATACACACAACTGCAACACCGATCTTTCTTCTTGTTATTTGCATTCGCTGGCTGTAAACTCCAGTGTAAACATTTAGTTGGTTGTCAACTGTAGTCTTGTTCCACATCCATTCTACAGATCTGGTGGTTCCTTGCCTCTCAGGCAGAGGCACTCCAGCTTTGAAGGAATACCAGTGTTTCCCAAACCTTTCTTAGTTGCAGGGCCTATTTTTAATTATAATTTTTTTACATGGGGCCCTAACCTAAGTAAAAGTATGACGATGCGTATGCAGGAGATTTTTAAAAACACGTGTGTCTTCGAATTTTTTGCAGTGCCCATGTGAAGAGGTCGAGGCTCCACAGACACCGCAGCGCAGTTTGCCCTAATTAATTGACTCTTTCAATATGCCTGTTAGGGAGGCAGTGGGTCTACTCTTGTTTTCCCCCACAACAGGGACTTGGAACTCACAGATGGAAGCAATGATGCTGAAGTACCATGCTCTAGATGTGGAAGACTTGCAAACTCAAGCTGGTCAAACTCAGGATTCAAACTCTGTGATTCCTATGCCTCACTAAGGCACAGTATAACAGTATTGCCTGGAAAGTCAGTAAAACACCAGTTACAAATCCCAAGAAGCTACTCTATGCTGCTGGCTTAGCTCATCATATGACCATTCGCTCATATAGACCAATAGACATCTAGTAACAGACCTATGTGTTGGGAAATAAACAGGCTGACAGACTGGCTGGCTCTGCACAACTTGGAATATTGATGCATGATAAGGCAGACGTGGTAAGGGTCTTGTGGGAAAGTGGGTACAGTTTGGAGGAGCAGATGGATCACCAAAGTCTGGTGAGATTGATGCAGCGGAAAATGACGAGAGGTTCAGGCAGATGTTCAAGGCTCAAAGGAAAGACCAGATGGATGTTTAATCAGAATGCTACTGGCACCATTGGTATCGGAACTCTTCACTGGCTGCTGAAGATGGGGACGGAGTGCTTTTGGGAATGCCCCGAGTGCTGTGATGTCGGTTTCTGAACCAACTCAACTTACCTCTTATAAAAACCTATGTCACAAAATTATTATTTTCGGTCAATGCAACATCTTTTTATTCCAATATTTGAAGCGTTCATCGCATAGACCACAATCAAAACCAAGTTAAGGCAGAAATGTTGGCCGCCCATCTGGACCTTTATTGCAGCCCACCATCTGCAAAACACTTATCTAAACCCGGCCATATACCCAAAGAGTCCACCTACCTCCATGGCAATGACCTTACAGAAGACCCTCTCTCCTTTAGCCAGCATCTCAGATGGATCTTCCACTCTCGCGTTGGACATCTGACTTTTGTGCAGGAGTCCTGAAATTATGGGATACACATACTATATAAAACAAAAACAACATTTTATAATGAACTCAAACAAACATGATTTTTATCAGTCAGAAAATCTGGTCAGCACAGATTGATTGCCAGTATCATATACTTTTGCTGGGTTAATCATCATCATCATCCTGTTGTGCCATTACATATCACAGGGCTTACATTGTGGTCCCTGGCTAAAATGAAGTAGGATAAGGGATACTGAAATACAGATTTTTAGTAAAACCCTCTTTTCCACTAGACCTACACATGTAAGGTAGCGGTGAAGACCAAGATAAGGTAGAGGACAAGAGAGTAAGAACAGATCCCCCCCCTCTTCTAGTGAATATCTGTTTATGAAAGTTCATTGCGGCGTGAGCCTCTTGATCTAGAAGAACCTTTCTTACCCTAAGACCACTGTGCGTGGTGGCTGAAATGAAGTAGGATAAGGGATACTGGAATACAGATTTTTAGTAAAACCCTCTTTTCCACCCCCTACACATTACTTCACCCAAGAGAGTAGAACAGATCCCCCCCCCTCTTCTAGTGAATATCTGTTTATGAAAGTTCATTGCGGCGTGAGCCTCTTGATCTAGAAGAACCTTTCTTACCCTAAGACCACTGTGCGTGGCGAAAAGACACAGCCTCCCCGAGGTAGTCCTGGTAACTGGGGGTGTGAATCCCCAGGCAAAACACAATAGATCTAGAGGAGCAAACCCTGATAATAAACCTGGTGCACCACACTGTACTGCCCGCAGTGGGGTGGGGGGTCTTTGGTGTGCTGAACAGTCTTAGGAGTGGAAACAAGTATGCCAGGCCCCCCCCCCCTCCCCGAATACAGGAAACTATCATGAAGGCACAGGGACTCAGGATGTGATGACCCAGTTGCCCCAACTACTCATGCTTAGAGCCACAAAGAGCTCAGCGAAACCAGCAGGCATTCTGGTGACGGGGAATGAGCACACTGTGAGTCCCCTTAGCTACGTGTTAAAGGCGAAGGCAGAAATACAACCCATATTTTCTTTAGAACTGGTACAGGGCATTTATGGCTGCTGCCCGGGGAGATAGGTAATCCAAAAACACCACAGCACCACAATGCCATGAAAAAACTCAGTGAAACTAGAAGAAAGCTACCCCCTCCGAGACCAGACAAGTGGAACACCTTGTACTGAGGAAAAGAACAGCTTATGAAAACATGCAAATTTCACTGCATGGCATTGGGCCAGAGGGCGAAAGCTCATGCCCCGCTGAATCGATAACAACAACTAAAACAAACACGCCATAAGAGTCGACTTATTGAGAGCTTCTTTCAAAGCTAAAGTAAATCCGCTTGAGAGGCAAGAAACAAAGTCAACATACCCCCATCCCCACCCCACGGCTTGATCAGAACTTTCTGATTCAGGTTCAAGTGGGAAAAAAGTCAAGAGGATCTTTACTGCACCAGGTTGTAACTAACTTAGCTAAATCTCTCACTGTAAAAAGATTGTCTGCCCACTCAAAGCACTGCGCAATCTCCATAGCTTCAGCAATGATCTCTATAAAAATAGCATGTAAGAACCAAATGACACATCTGTGAAATGAACACATGAATCTCCATAGCGTGACGTAAACGTCCAATCTGGAATAATTCAGCATTTTGTAGTTTTCCCAGTGTTATCATAAGTCTTTAATTGTCTTAAATCCTAAATTTCTAATATCTGTTGCTGTATTTTAATTCTATTTAAAAAAAAACAGTATATCAGAAATTTCTAATTTTCCTGGTTTTAACCTAATTCTGAAATTGTTTTTAATATATAAGATTCAAAAAATGTCTAGCTCTAGAATCAGAATTCTTTAATTAATAAAAAAAAAAAAAAATTTATTTATGATAAAAACGAGATATGGGTTTCAAGTAGGGCTGTACCGAATATTCGCTTCGTATTCGCTTCGGGGCCGAATAGTGGACCCAATAACTATTCGGTATTCGGCCGAATAGTTGCGGTCGGGCCGAATACGAATAGTGGTTACCTCACAACCGTTTCTGGACTGGTGGAAAAAAAACATCAAGACTTCCCACCTTGGTTTATACTGTGAAGCGTTATCTTTGTGCACCACCTACGAGCGTACCAAGTGCCTCTTTATTTCCATCTTGCATGTGTTGCGAGTATAGTGTTTTTAAGTGTGTTGCTGTAGAAACAAAATGCAAAACTTAAAAATGTAAGAGGGGCAGAAAAGCAAGTGTTCTAGTGTTGTCGGCTTGATTTCTTTGAGTAGAGTGTCCTCTTTGTTGATTCTTTGAAGTAAAGGGAGTTCGTCATCATTTATAGGTGTCGTATCTGTTCTTTCGTCGTCTCGTGGAAACGGCAGCGGCTGAATGTTTTGATCGACGTTCGGTTTCTTGATTGTCTTTGTTGTTTGATCTTCTGGCGTTGGCCACCCGGCGTCTGGTTTCGTGAGCGGAGGGGGGGGGGGGGGGCGACTTGTAAGGACGGCATTGTTTTCTTCGTCAGCGTTATTTTTGTTTTTGATGTTTCGCCTTGCGGGGATCGCAGATAGTGGCGAGGCATAATCGCCCATGCTAGCCGGCAAAGCACATGATGATGATGATTCACTATTCGAATTTGGCCAAATAGTTGGTCCAACTATTCGTATTCGGCCGAATAGTTCCAAGGCCACGTTTGTGTGTGTGTGGGGGGTTAAACGCACGGCCCCTCAACACCCAACAAGCATGTCGTAAAAGGTGACTACTGGTTTGCTAAAACCAGCTGTGATTGGGCCAAAAGGTGTCAACATTATCGCAGCTTAGTTGAAAACCCCAACATAATATGCCAACTGCTCTTATAAGGGTGACAGATGAAGGTCATAATAACTCACCCAACATTTCATCATAAAGAAACATCAAAAAACATATGTTCCTTCTCTTCAACAATCCTTATATTATTTCATTTTGTACTGCTGTAACTTGGGAGTTGCCATGGCGTAACGGCTAGACGATCGCCTGCGGATTGGAAGGTTTGTGGGTTCACTCTCTGTCGGAGTAGGACATTTTTAAAAAATGACCTTGGCTCTCGGGTAGACCCAGCCTTGAGTGCGTACCAGGTGCAGTCCTGGGAAGTAAAGGCGGCCAACATGCTGCTGACAACATCACCCACTTGCGCCGATTGGTCTATACAAATATAGGTCTAGCCCTATGCCCTATACGCCTAAAGGCTTGGAAAAGGGCCCTTTACTTATTTACTGCTAAAACTTGCAGGGGAGAAGATCCTTCTAGTAAGTGACTGACAAGAGGAGCAATAAACTATACAAACCCTGCTTTCTGCATCCAGGGATCCTGATAAATGCCCCATAAGACTGCAGACTTGCAACCTTGAGAACAGAAAATAACCAGAAATGAAACTTGTCTTGTGTGTTTCAGAATTTTTACCAATATTTAATCGGTCAAGTCTGCTACCTTTATCATAAAAACAATCTACATTCTTTGTGTCAGTTTCAATAAATCATACGAGTATGCTACTTATATCATAAGCATAAGAAAAAAAAAACATTCTTGGGGCATGTTCTGACAATGGAGAAGTTGGAGGGGTAGTAAAGCAGAGAAAACCAAGATAAAGGATGTTTGATCATCATCAAAAGACAGATTCTTTACAGAAAGTAACTCTCTTCATAGCATGCCTGAAAGTCTCGCTGTCTCTAGCCAATTCTCCAGTCCTATGTGCTTTCATAACCAATGCATTTTTAGTGTGTATCCACCTTCCTGGTCAGCCTCTGCCATTTCTCGCAGAAACTGTACACTCTATCATTTTTTCCCAGGCCATTATGCCATTTAACATGCCCAAAATACCTCAGCTTTTAGGAGAGAATGCTGTTTATGAGCCAGTACTCCCAACTGCACCTCCTCGTGGTGAAGGACAAAAACACACCTCGGTGTGGCTAAGGCAGTCTTAGGGACCGAGTATCTGCCAGAATAAGAGGACCACTCTGGGGTGTTGTCTGCTGTTAGCAATAACATCGCAGAGAAGGGTACTCACTTACCCAGGAACTTTAAACGATTGCTGAAGGTTGAGATGCTCAGCCGTGTGGATGTGGAAAGCAAAGGGAGACTACCACATTATATATATATATCCCTAGAAACTCAACGCGGAACACATGGGGCCGGAGAGCTGGCTAGGAAAAGGGATACATTCAGGCGTGCCGTGAAGACAGCGACGTTCTGTAAAGGACTTGCTGATTGATGATGACTCATTGATGCTCAGATTATGTAAGATCTCAAGTTTTTTTTGTTTTTTTCATTGTCCATGGGATTTTAAGAATTTTTCTGTAACATTTCAATTCAAAAATACTAATATTTTTCTTCTTTCACTGAGTAAAAGTGCAAGCAGGCCCAGATTTAGAACCCAAAGGCCCTATTCTATGTAAAGCCATGAGGCCCCTACTGTTTTTAAAAGAAAATTGCAATTTAAATACAGTAAAGACCAAGAGAAAGGAAGTCTGCTAGTGTGGCAACATGGCATCAGACAGCGCACCAACAGTGATATACATATACAGTGGCGACAGAGCCAGAGGTAGATCACGCAGAAAATGGACTGCAAAAATATCACAGGCACTACTATAAACGAAGCAAAAAGAAGAGCCAGTTCAGGAGATCTCTTCCTCCTCCTCTGATACTGTGAGGTATTTCAATCTCTTCCTCCTCCTCTGATACTGTGAGGTATTCCAGGAGTAGAGGAAAGAAGCAGATGAAGTAACAGACTAGAATGGAGACATCAAGTCAGAGTTGGCTGCCCGAAAAGCCACAGATGGGAGGAGACTTTTTGTAAACTCTGGTAATTTGTAGCTTTCCCGCGATACAATTTCTGAATGCGTGGCTGTGTCAGTAAGTTCAGCATTCAGCAAAAGCGCAAAAGTTTATGGTTGCCCGGTCACCAAGCGGCATATTTATGCATTTGTAGTAAACAGTAATAATAGTAAAATAATGCATTTTTCTTTTAAAATGGAAAGTCTAAACGAGCCATTAGATGCACGCCTTGACAATGCCACAAAGGTATGGATTAGATGATTAGTCGGATTAGATATGCTAAGCTAGGTCCACAGTCTACAGATTCTTTTGAAATAGAAAGTCTAAGCGAGCCGTTAGATGCATGTCTCGACACTGCAACAAACAGATAAAGGTATGGATTAGACGATTAGTTCAATAGTCAAATCAGATGCGCCAAGCTTGGTCTACAGTAGACAGATTCTTTTGAAATGGAAAGTCTAATGGATTAGATGATAAACACTGCCACAGATCGGATTAGACAATTAGCGCTCCGCTAAATCTACAGTCTTCTTTTTTATGTCCTCTTTTACCGCTTCAGGTGTCGAGAGAAATATAAGGACCTGCTTCGTGCTTTTCAGGCTGCTTCAACCATAGACACATCTTGGTGCTGTAGAGTTTCTCTGATGTTATCTTCCCATCTTCTTCTTGGCATACCTCCTGCTCTATGTCCTTCTCCTCTTCTGCCTTGTATGGTATAGCATCAGGAGGCATTCTCCCCAAGTGGGCATAACATTTGATACTTTTGAAATGGGAAATCTTCGAGCTATTAGAATAGTTAGATACCCCCCTCGACACTGCCAAAAAGGTATGGATTAGACTGATTAGATGTTCTGATCTAGGTCTACAGCTTGCAGATCCTCTGATTATGTCATGTCAACTGAATAAAACTAATGTCAACTCAATAATTATAATGAAGTTAAAGTAAAATAGTTAAAGTTAAACCAACAAAAATTTAGCATACACAGAAGTTAACGACAAAAAATAGTTATTTGTTATCCACTGTAAACAATGCTAACAGATATTAAATAAAATATTAATTTTAATCATCACAACATTTTTTCCAAAATAAAACTGTAAGCATTATTTTTATATTTTTTCTTTACAGTAAAACTTTGAAGTAAATTTAAAAACTATAATTTTTAATTACTGACCTCTCCGTGAAATATCTGAAACAGTCTCGGAAGACCGCCTTCGCTGCTGTTTCTCATCATGATTAAGACTTACGACACGTCGAACAAACAATGTCGAGCTAGAATCACCTACACTATTATAGATTTTCAATAAGAAACTGATAAAATTGGCAATATAGTCGATGATTGCTCCTTTAACAAATTATTGTTACAGCAGCCATTTTCTAGGAACAAGAAGGAGTTACCTGCCGTTGTTCGTTTGCAAGATTCGTTAAACGAGATTCGTGGTATGAACATTTCGTTGAATATAACTTCACTTCTATGGTAGCTTTTTATTTCCTATGCCACTCCAAGATGTGGTCACATGCCTATTTAGATAATAATGTGGATACAGATGAAGGCAAAACACGGAGAAGGGAACTTGTGGGAAGTTACAAAGATGGGAAGGACATAAGGTGAACTGCATGCGACAACAAATAGGACAGTGTGCCTTAGCGTCAGTTAGTTGAGAGCCTATGCTCCCTTAAGGGATGAGGTACAGAAGGAAAAAAAAAAGAATATTAGGGTATCTCTTTGGATACATTATTACAAAATGTACATCGCTTTCATTCTCATTCATTGCTTAAACACTGATAAAAACCGTGTTTTAAATTTATTAGTTTTACAAATAATTCGTTACAATAATTTGATTGAGATACATAGGGATAAGAGGACACATACAAATCACGAAAGATGGAAGAGAACTGGGGAACGAAAAAACGAATCAACTAACAAAATTTAATTTTAAAGAGTCACAAATTTGACACGCAGGCCGGTCTTACATTTAGCCTTTTTAAACACCCATCTTTCACACAGCAGTTATATTTTATCAATAATGCATGTTATGTTCATATAATAATATTCATTTTATGAATATCAAGAAAAATTGCATGGGTGGCAAAATGCATGCACAACTCTCGCGTGCGCACACACACTTACTTACACACGCATACCCACTAATTCAGTCATACTCACACACACACAAACGCACGTAGGTACGCACATACGTACATGCATAGTACGTACGTACGTACGTACATACATACATACATACATACATACATACATACATACATACATACATACATACGTACGTACATACGTACGTACGTACGTACATACATACACACACACACATACACACACACATACATACACACATACATACATACATACATACATACATACATACATACATACATACATACATACATACATACATACATACATACATACATACATACATACATACATACATACATACATACATACATACATACATACATACATACATACATACATACATACATACATACATACATACATACATACATACATACATACATACATACATACATACATACATACATACATACATACATACATACATACATACATACATACATACATACATACATACATACATACATACATACATACATACATACATACATACATACATACATACATACATACATACATACATACATACATACATACATACATACATACATACATACATACATACATACATACATACATACATACATACATACATACATACATACATACATACATACATACATACATACATACATACATACATACATACATACATACATACATACATACATACATACATACATACATACATACATACATACATACATACATACATACATACATACATACATACATACATACATACATACATACATACATACATACATACATACATACATACATACATACATACATACATACATACATACATACATACATACATACATACATACATACATACATACATACATACATACATACATACATACATACATACATACATACATACATACATACATACATACATACATACATACATACATACATACATACATACATACATACATACATACATACATACATACATACATACATACATACATACATACATACATACATACATACATAACACAGATACACACACATACGTGGACACGCAGACACAGACTTATACACAGAAACACACAGACACACACAGTCACACACAGAGAGACGACATTGTTCCACTGTCCAATGGGGGGGGGGGGGGGGGTGGTGATCAGAGCCTTCGACAGACACGCTGCCACAAATACATATTTTGAGGTTGGCGGTGGGGGGAGTGGGGAGCTCCTGTATAATTTTCTAAGGAACGTCCTCAGGGGACTTAAACCTTGCTTAAGCAGCAAGAATAATAAATAATTATAAAAAACATTATTATTATTATTATGTGCTGAATGGCAAATAAAAACAATAATAATGTATTTGAAATAAAATGAAATGTATAAACAAATACACGTTGAAGTAAAAATGGACAACACAGCTTCGGGACATTTCTAAAAGCGCTCCATCTCCATCTTTAGCAGCAAACACAGAGTTGCAATACGAGTGGTAGCATAGACGTTTGATTCTACTGGTATATCCGTCTCACCTTTCCCCTCATTGTTAATCACCGACCAGATCCCCTGGTCACTCCTCCAGTACCATTCTCATTAGACTACGATGATCCATCTGTGGTTGAGCACTATTCACTCGAACTCAAAGGGCCTTTACAGCATCTAATTGTCATGATCAGTTCATCACTATGTTGTACAGAAACAGCTAGTCTATCTACCTGTTTATTTCCCAATTCACCAGTAATCCTGGGAAAAATATCGAAAGGACGCTAACTACATTAGACCTTCAAGCGATTATTTAAAGAGCATCTATACATGTTCAGTGGGCGGCATCCGTGGTTTATTCCTTGCGAGGCCGACTCGTAATTCCAACGTACCGCGATAGAAACCCACTGCTGGCTGCGTGGATTTTTCTCATGGTATGGGGCGTCGCAGGTCAACCCAGCCTAAAATGGGTACCAGGATGTATGTCCTGGGGAAAAAAAGACGGCCGGCGTAATGCTGACCACATTACCCATCAAGTGTCGATTAGTCTGAAAAAATATGAGTGCTCTTCCCATATGCCCGAAGCGCCTAAAAGCGTGAAAAATGGTCTTTACTTTACTTTTTTTTAATACATGTTCAGTGGAGCAACAGCTCACGTGCTCCATTGCAAATTTTTCCTGGCGGTGGAGCTCCCCGCCCCTCCCCTTTCTTTACCCAAAGAATTATTCGGAAGAAAAGCACCCCCACCCCCATCTCCCACATTTTGGAAAGGGATTTCAATGTGTCTACACCATCAGGTTCCGGAGTCTATGGCCCATGGGGATGTCAGTTAGGCCCAGAGATTAGGCTCGTCCTCCCCACCTCGGTTGTGGTGTAGGATCGTGTGTTGCCCATGCAACATGATGCCCTTTTCAGTGCGCATGGTTGACTTACTCTAAGACAGGGGTTCTCATGTTGGGGTGACCCCTATCAATAAAATTAGTTACGTCGCTACTTCATAACTTCAGTGAATATGAGTTTTTCGATAGTCTTAGGCGACCCCTGTGAAAGAGTAGTTCGTCCCATTAGGGGGGAAATATTCAAAAATACAAGAGTTTCATTTTAGGTCAGAGCACCGTAGAAACATTTTCAATGAAAACATGCACCGGTGTTTGGGAAACACCGATGTGGAGGATAAGCAACTAACTGGGGTTTTTTTTTAAAGCTAAAATAGCAGCACCAAAACATGGGCACCTTGAACTTCCACTCACTCAAAGTTTTCTTCTTCCTCGTAGTTGTCGTTTCCTTCTCCATCTCCTCCTTTTTTCTCCTTCTTCTTCTTCTTCTTCTTTCGCTATGTTTCACAGAAAGAAAGGCAAGAACTCAGTTTGACAGACGGACAAGAGGACAATTTGACAGTCATACAACCAAATACAGAGACAGGCATATAGACAGCTGGACGGACAGACGGATGGGTAGATAGATAGACAGAAAGATATATTAGATAGATAGATAGACAGACAGACAGACAGACAGACAGACAGACAGACAGACAGACAGACAGACAGACAGACAGACAGACAGACAGACAGACAGACAGACAGACAGACAGACAGACAGACAGACAGACAGACAGACAGACAGACAGACAGACAGACAGACAGACAGACAGACAGACAGACAGACAGACAGACAGACAGACAGACAGACAGACAGACAGACAGACAGACAGACAGACAGACAGACAGACAGATAGATAGATAGATAGATAGATAGATAGATAGATAGATAGATAGATAGATAGATAGATAGATAGATAGATAGATAGATAGATAGATAGATAGATAGATAGATAGATAGATAGATAGATAGATAGATAGATAGATAGATAGATAGATAGATAGATAGATAGATAGTTTAGATAGATATGGCGAATACAAACTTCATGAAAGGTGGGTATGTGGATTAATCATTGAATAGTTGGAAAGATGAATAAAAGGACAGACTGACAAATTGACGGACAGACAGACTAATTGAAAAATAGACGGAGTGCAGACAGACAGACAGAAACAGAAAAGAGTCATAAATCTTGCCTAGAAAAGTTTCGTGGGCGGCCGAAGCTGACATATTTTATGACGCTAATAATTCGTGACTGCTGTTATAATTACATCACCCGTGTGTTTGCCCCCGAATCTCCATTCGTTTACGCTACTATCTCTGACTAAGGCCAGAGGAAATTATTTAAATATCTCCGAAGCAAAATTCGCCATGCCCGAAAGCTATTCTTCAATTAGCTTAATAGGATCTGAAAATCTCTTTCCCAGAGAAGCCCCCTCATACGCCATGGCGTTCGCAACGTTGCGATAAAATCGGAGAAAATGGCGGCCTTTACAATAGAGCTCCCTTTCATTCGGCCAGTAACCCAATAAAGCAGACTTCACGAAACCTAAGCACGCAGAGGCGCTAGCGGAAGTGCTCATGACTTGGCGCGCTTGATTTCAATCTGAATAAATTTGAAAGTTGATTGAAAGCAAAAACCATTTGTTTTAAGTTTGTTTTCAGGCGATTATGTTCGTTTTTAAAGGTTTGATTACGGTGGTTGATGGAGCAGAAGAGAAACTGCTTAAGAACTGCGAGCCAATT